GCCGAGATTGTGCCATTGCACTCCAGCCTGGGCAACAGAGCAAGACTCCATCTCAAAAAAAAAAAAAAAAAAAATTATAGGAATGGGGTCTTGCTATGTTGCCCAGGCTGATCTCAAACTCCTGGTCTCAAGTGATCCTCCCACCTAGGCCTCCCCAAGTACTGGAATTATAGGTGTGAGCCCCCATGCCCCACTCCCAATCCTCTTGAATCACTCACTCTAGTTCAGACTACCAGATAAGAGTTTTCTAGGAAGGAGATCGCTGGGAAAACCTCTACACTATCTTCCTGCCTCAGTCTCTCCTTTCTAGCCCAACTACACACTGCCACAACAAGTTTCCTGAAAGCCTACGTTTTGCCTTCAATAACTTAGCTGTATCTATAGACTGAAGTACTAACTTTTTGGGCAAACATAGCCCTTCAGAGTCTGGTGCCAGCTGACCCAGCCAGGATGGCCCCTGGCTGTGGGCCACCAACAAGGGTTCTTCCAGCTACACCAGGACCACATGTGTCACAGCATTTTTTCCTCCACCTACATGGTTGGGTCTGATACACTAGAGCCACAGCTCGTCTCAGAGGCTTTCTGTGTACTCCAGCCCAGGGTGAGGTCCCAGCATTCACTCCTGTAGCACTCAGTCACAGGAAACAGCACTACCTGATATGGCTTGCTCTCATGTACCTGACTGAAGGTAAGATGATTTTCACAAAAAGATTTTTTTTCCTTTTTTGATTTTTTTTTTGAGACAAGGTCTCACTTTGTTGTCCAGGCTGGAGGGCAGTGGTGTAATGTTGGCTCATGGTGGCCTCCAACTCCCCGGCTTGAGCAATTCGCCCACCTCAGCCTCCCAAGTAGCTTGGGACTACAGGCATGTATCACTTCGCCTGGCTAATTTTGTTTTATTTTTTGTAGGGACAAGGTTTCACTATGTTGCCCAGGCTGGTCTTGAACTCCTGGACTCACCTGATCCTCCCGCCTCAGCCTCCCACAGTGGTGGGATTACAGACGTGAGCCACCACACTCAGCTAAGAGTTTTTCTTGCAGAGAAAATTTTACATCTTTATTCTCTTTCCCATCTTTCCATGCCAGAGGGTCTCAACAGGGGACAATTTTGCCCTCCAGGAGACATTTATGACATCTAGAGACATTTTTGGTTGTTGTGACTGAGGGACTGCTATTGGTATCTAGTGGATAGAGACCATGGATACTGCTAAACATCCTGTAGTAACCAGGTGCGGTGGCTCACACCTGTAATCCCAGCACTCTGAAAAGCCAAGGTGGGAGGATCACTTGAGGTCAGGAGTTCAATACCAGCCTGGGCAACATAGTGAGACCCCATTTCTACAAAACAAAGAAGTTAGCCAGGCATGATGGTGCCTACCTATAGTCCCAGCTACTCAGAAGGCTGAAGCAGGAGAAAGGCTTCAGCTCAGCACTTTGAGGCTGCAGTGAGCTATGATCGCACCACTGCATGCCAGCTGAGGCAACAGAGTGAGACTCTGTCTCAAAACTAAAAACAAAATCCTACAGTGCACAGGACAGTCTCCACAACAAAGGACTATCCATCCCAAAGTCAACAGTGCTGAGGCTGAGAAACCTTTTATTAAAGTAACAAGTAGCAGACAGAACCGTTTCCCTTCTGTTGGTAATGCCAGCAAATAGTGAAATACCTGACATAAGTGCTGAAGACAGGACAAAGATTTACTCAGGACCTGAAGAACCATAAACTGACATTATCAAAGGAAGTCACTCGCTCCTGCTTTGGGTTCACTCAGAAATATACTAGATGGCAATCTGGCAGTCCCAGTTGCCGCAGAACAGCAGGATATGCAGCAAAGACTGCTCTCTACTGCTGACTCTCAATTATGGGGCAGCTGGCTGAAGGACACAGATGCACCCAAACCTCAAGCAGCTTGAATACCCTGCATGTGGCAAGCTGAGCCGGGAAAACCAACGAGACTGCTCGCACAGCAAACATGTCCTGAGCACCTTCCTGCCTGGCCCTGTGCTAGCACTGGGGACATGAAAGAATGACAAAGTGGTCCTCCTTGAGGAGCTCCTAGTCTAGTGGGGACATATAGTAGTAAACAGTTACTGATCTGCACAATTGGCTTGGCTGATCTCACTTCCATTTTCCTTTAAAAATCCTTCAGGGAAGGGAGAAAAACAATGAAGTGGAAAATAAAGCAGTGGAGCTCCACTGCTGATTAAAATCTATATTGCTATGGCAGCCCCTTTGAGACAGGATCAGCTCCTGGGTTTGCACCAGCTGGGCTTGTGGAGCTTGTAAATAATTAAAAGGTAATTGGAAGGGGAGACCAAAGTATTAAGTGGATTTCTTTCTCTCAGGGCAAACGGGGAGGTTCACTGCTGCCAGTCACATTATCTTTCAGGATTTCATATATATATATATATATATTTTTTTTTTTTTTTTTCTTCTTTATTTTTGAATGGAGTCTCACTCTGTTGCCAGGATAGAGTGCAGTGGCAGAATCCTGGCTCACTGCAACCTCCGTCTCCCGAGTTCAAGCAATTCTTCTGCCTCAGCCTCCCAAGTAGCTGGAACTACAGGCAGGCGCCACCACACCCAGCTAATTTTTGTATTTTTAGTAGAGACGGAGTTTCACCATGTTGGCCACGATGGTCTTGATCTCTTGACCTCCTGATCCACCCACCTTGGCCTCCCAAAGTGTTGGGATTACAGGCAGGAGCCACTGCGCCCAGCCTCAGGATTATATTCTTGTTTTTTACTGACACATGTAGTTCCAGGTAACAGCTGGAGGAGCAAACTAATGAGGGCTGCTCAGATTGCTTTGATGGGCTTAGAGATTGGGGAACACCAAGATTCAAAACTTTCGATTGCCTTTTTAAGCAAACCAGCAGTAACAAACATGCTACCAAGAAGGCAATAAGGCTGCCAAAGGTAAAGGAGTGGGAGGAAGGAGGGAAAGAGACAGAAATGAGCTTAGAATATTTAGCTGCTGGGGGCTGCCATTACAGCTTGGCCCAGGATAAAGAGGAAGATTTCATTCTTAAGTCTCAATAAAGTTGTTGACACAGGCACCAAGGGATGCATGATCAGCTGTAACAGGATGCTGGGAACAGGCTACTGGGAGTAGTTCTCTCCTGTGGTTTTGTCCTGAGGGTGATTAAGGTGGAGCCACACAGGTTGCTGAAGGCCTTCTCCTAGAGAGGCTGGGGTGCTGGCCATGCATTCTGAGGGCTGACTTGGCTGGTGAACCCATTGCTATGACTGAATACAAAGCCAGGAAGTTGAGTCACTCAGCTCTAAACTCAGTCACACCATAGTCTATAGTGGAGATGGCTCTTGCGTATGTGCAGGGAGTGAGGAGAGAAGGAAAGAGAATTGGGAGGGTGCGTTATAAAGCAGATGGCGGCTGGGCGCAGTGGCTCATGCCTATAATCCCAGTACTTTGGGAGGCCAAGACAGGTGGATCACTTAAGGTCAGGATTTTGAGACCAGCCTGGCCAACATGGTGAAACCCCATCTCTAGTGAAAAAAAAAATACAAAAATTAACCAGGCATGGTGGTGGGCACCTGTAGTCCCAGCCACTTGTGAGGCTGAGGCACGAGAATTGCCTGAACACGGGAGGCAGAGGTTGTAGTGAGTTGAGATCATGCCACGGCACTCCAGCCTGGGCAACAGAGTGAGACTCTATCTCAAAAAAAAAAAAAAAAAAAAGCAGACGCCTATGTACCTGACCGTTAAACTGCAGGAATGTTCTAACCAAGCCAGCAAATACAAACATCAAAAGTCAATGGGTAAGAAGAAAGTGCTGGCCTTTCCTTTCCAAGGATCATTTCAGACCTTTCCAAAATATCCTGAGGGGCCTCTATTCTTTCACTTACCTTTCTCAGTCTCCATGAGACTAGATACGCCAACAAGAAGCCTTACATGCTAGATTAAGTGAAGTCCAGGGTAGCTTTAAGGCTTAAAAAAGGCATATTTGAATTTGAAGTGATTCCAGAGACCAGTTAATTGGAAGAAGAGACACAAAATCAGGCAGGGCCAAATGTGGACGATCATTCCATCTACTTTGCGCCAACGCCTTCTCTGTCCTCTTCAATCTGGCTATCAGTTATTTGGCTAAATCCACAACCAAATGGCAGTAAATGCCTCTTGTCCTCCTGGATGAGGATTAGTGGTCCAGGATGTTTAACAGTGATTAGCACACAGTAGGCACTCTATCAGTATTCCCTGAATTGGAACGATGAGTAGATGCACACTCACCCCTCTTCTGCATAAAGACGAAGAGGTCATCCAGGAACTCTTTCCTTTCAGGATCACCGTCCAGTTCATACAGCTGCAATCCCAATCCCCCAAGAAAAACACACAATGAAAAATTCCATCTTGCTGAAGTCTTATACCAGTTACACTATGGCCATCTGAATCACTACAAATGCAACTCACTGGCTACTTTGGTCCTTATTTCTCAGGAAGCAGCTATAACAAGCCACTGCAGAACTGCCCCTATCTATATCACAAAGGAAATATTACAGACCTTGGCAAAATCTCGAGAGATCTCTCTTCCCCGGCCTCCATCTGCATCATCACTCCAGGCCAAACCACCATTCTACAAGGGAACAAAACACAAAGTTGAGAGGGGCAAAGGAAGAGAAAGAGTTAGGACGGAGGGCAAGGCAGTCATTTAGGGCAAAGATGAAGACGCTTAGCAATTGTGCTATCCTCACTCATACTATAAAAGACACCTCAGAAGACTAAATCTGCCACCCTTACAGGGACATCTTTTTTTTTTTTTTTTGCTTTCGATTTGATTCCAAAATAAAGAGGGAATCGGGTGGAAGAATCTTCTTCATTTGTTGGAGAAGGGTGGGTGTCATTTATACTTGATAATCCTGGAAGAGGAAGACACAAAGGCCCACGTTGCTTAGAAGGGGCTCATTCCCAGCTGATCCTCAGAAGCCATCACTCTGAGATGCACCACTTTCCTGCAGACTGGGAAGATACCTCGCCTGGTTTCCTACACAACACTCTAAGTGATAAGGGTCAAAGCAAGCAGCACATACATCCTGAAGTTGGTCTCTTAGCCAAGCCTCACCATTCAAAACCCTAAGCCGCATGGCAAGAATTCATGGTGATACGAGGGCCACCATGGCCTGAGATTGTTCCCAAGGTACAGACTCTGTGCCACTAGGGCGAGAGTTCATTTTTATTAGAGAAACAATGAAAATCTAGGCCCATCTTGAGTGAATGGGTTGAAGCAACACCATTCAACTAAATAGGAAGGAATGGCAAATATTCTTTAAACTTGCTTCCCATCTTTATTCAGTCCAGTAACTCTTTTTTTTTTTTTTTTTCTGAGACGGAGTTTCGCTCTTGTTGCCCAAACTGGAATGCAATGGTGCGATCTCAGTTCACTGCAACCTCCACTTCGCGGGTTCAAGCGATTCTCCTGCCTCAACCTCCTGGGTAGCTGGGATTACAGGTGCATGCCACCACGCCCGGCTCACTTTTTTTTTTTTTTTTTTTTTGTATTTTTAGTAGAGATGGGGTTTCACCATGCTGGCCAGGCTGATCTCCAACTCCTGACCTCAGGTGATCTGCCCACCTCGGCCTCCCAAAGTGCTGGGAATACAGGCATGAGCTACTGTGCCCAGCCAAGTCCAGTAACTCTTATTCCTCCAATCAGGTATCTCTTCAGCGGAAAGCCTTTCCTTCGATCATGGCTATACTAAGTACTCTAGAAGCAATCTCTGTTCACTTCTAGCTTAGATTTTTAACATATTACTTGGAAAGTATCTGTCATCCCCACCATATAGTAATCTCCTTGAGAGCAAAGGTGTCTTATTTATCTTTGTCCTCAGGCACATGGCACATTGCCTGGTACACCAATTAAGCACCTCTTCAAAAAATATACAGATACCTTACAGGGGGTTCAAAAAGTCTTTGTGCTAGTGAGGGTATGAACTCTCACAGGAGAACTCTGTTGTTCACCCCGACCCACCGGTCAGTGGAGGTCCCACACCAAATCTGTCATACTCATTTCTCCCATAGGACCACAGGCGCATGCGCACCATGCCACCCAGCTGCCCGGGGTATGTATGTGGTGAGGAAAGGACATGTGGAGCTGGGGAGCAGTGGTTTCTTGGGAGAACATTCTTTGGACTACTCAGGAATCTTCTTCTAAAACCATGTCAATGAAATAAAAGCTTGGTTGAATTCCATTCTCTTCCACCTTCCCCTTTAATAAAGCTTGTCTGAAAGGAGAAGGCATTATACAGTTATATTTTGGGGCCATACTTTGCTTCACCTATTCAAAGTGGGCTCTGAGATGCAGACCCACTTTCTGATAGCAGCAGTCTGGCACACAATGATGTAAGTATAATCAAGAAGTGACACTCTGTCAGTTAAAACGAAACAGACTACACCAAACTGTTTCTCTGCTTATCTAGTAAAAGACGTGTGTACGGAACTGCTCGGTAAATGCTGTCTGACCGTGCACTCATCATCTCCCAAGGCAGACATTGTTGGATCCCTTCCTACAGTACCTTCAGCTGAGGGGAGCCAATAACCAAGTGGGAGGAACATTGTTTAGAAAGAAAAAAAAGCTAAAGCTCATCCCACATTGTAATTACAGTCACCCTAAATCTGGTGTCATCTGGTGGCAACTAGCACAATGAATAATCAAGATGAATTATGCCTGTCAGGTCAGCAAAACCAGAGAGAGTTACATTCCCCCTTTCAAAGGATGCAGTAGGTTGCCCTAATGCCCAGTGATTTTGTTTGAGCCAGTAATTCCTGCTGGAAAGTCAATTATCCCGGGAGCCCCTATCAGCTGAAAGACATTTAATGGGGGATCATTGCCGCTTCTGTTATGTCAGCTGTTTACTGCGGCAGCTCAATTCCCAACTCTCTGGCCAGAGCTCTGAAGCTGATCTCGTTCACAGAAGGATTCTTTCTCTATCAGTCATCAAGAGATGAAAGCACCATTTTTTTTTTTTTTTTTGCTAATTATAGTAACTTCCAAGCACTCTGAATGCTCACTCAAAAACTATTCAACACTCAGTTGGGTGGAAAGGGTGGAATCCACAACCTAAAAAGTCAGACAGGGCTTTCCACAGCAGGAGAGCAGTGTGAAAACAAGCACGCTGCTGTGACCACTATGTGACTATGTGTGAAAATAAACACCCAAGTGTGAGCGCTCGGCTCCAGGCACGGAGAATGCCTTGGTAGGATGGGGGCTGGGGCCGGTAGGGTCCTCTTGACTTCTCCAGCTTTGTCCAACCTGCAAGAGAATCCGAGCAGTAGGATGGTGAGGCCTTGCACAGAGCCCACTAAGTGTGACCCACTTAGCTTGAAATGCCTTCAGCTTGGTGACCACAGAGATCAGGAAGACTTGCCAGAGCAGGAAAGAAATGAGACACCGAACTCTGAGTAATCCCACTGTTGGACCCATTCCACAGATAGGAACTGTCAGTTACTCTATTTAAAGAAAATGTGGGGAAAATAGTTGCCCAGAGAGGAGGTATTTTCTTTTGTCCAGCTCCAAGGCAAGGATGCTCCATTCAGCTGGGGCTGATGCAAAAATGTCCAGCGTGCATTCATTCTTTGTCTTAAGGCAGTTAAACTTTGATCCTGCTTCACAGGATTTTCTGGTTGAGGTGAGAGTAATTCCTGAGCCTTGCCTGCCTTTCACAGTCTAGCAGAGCCTCCTGCCTCTGCCCAGCAGGCAGATTCAATGCCTTTCTCCTCTGGGCTCTATCACCTTTGTTCAGTTACTTGTCTGTCTCCAGCCCTGGGCGCATAGAAAGCACTGACCGGCTGGGCATGGTGGCTCTTGCCTATAATTCCAGCACTTTAAGACCAACCTGGGCAATATAGGAAGACTCTTTCTCTCTCTCTCTTTTTTTTTTTTTTTTTTTTTTTTGAGACAGTCTTTCTCTATTGCGTAGGCTGGAGTGTAGTGGCATGATCTTGGGTCACGGCGACCTCCACCTCCCAGGTTCAGGCAATTCTCCTGCATCATCCTCCTGAGTAGCTGGGACTACAGGTACATGCCAGTATGCCTGGCTAATTTTTGTATTTTTGGTAGAGGTGGGGTTTTGCCATGTTGGCCAGGCTGGTAAGGGAGACCCCATCTCTACCAAAATAATAATAATAATAATAATAATAATAAAAAAATAAAGAGGGAGCACTGACACCTCTGCTAAAAGACAGAGATGGGCTCCCCCGTGGGATCTCCAACCCCACAGCTCCTCTGTCTTCCCCTCCCCCTTTCACTGGGTGGGTTATAGGCTTAACCAGTTATTTTCTTGGTTCTTAACTCTGATCAACTGTTGTGAAACATGGTCACTTATGCAATTCAAGTTTGTGTGCAGTAGCTTTCTCGGCTTATCAATAGGGTATGGGTGTGACTACTAGAAAATTATCAGCCCAGAAATAATTTTTTCTCAGATGCTGACTGTGGCTGACTGAGACTGTAATGGTGGAAGAAAGCAGGGAACAGAGGCAGATGGAGTGTGGGGAAAACAAACCCAAAAAGAGACAGCTCAACATTTTAGGGATCAAAAGAGGTTGATGAGGAAAGCATTTCGGTTGAAGGCTTGCTGCACGCAAGTTTAACCTGCCCAGGGAACAGACTTTGTTACACCATCAGCAGCAGGCAGCAGTATTATATAGCCCAGAAATGTGTGTGGGAAGTCAACAGTAGCCAGAGTGGCCACTTATTGCCATTTACAGCCTTCTCAGCCTCTCCTACTTGAGAACTGTCTTTTAACATCTTTGATCTCTCCAGGAGCTCACAGGAAACTGATAGTTTGCTCCCAAATACACACCCAAGACTAGCTTTGGCTACTATACCTACATTCAGCTAATTTTCCCCAGGAAAAGAAGGTGGGGGGAAAGGGAAAAGGTAGCAGAAAGCTAGTGTTTGTGTGCCTTCTGCATACCAAGGATTGTACCAGGAGCCTTACAAGCATTTTCTCACTTAATTCTATAATGTAGAAGTGGTTATTTTAGAAATGGGAAAACAATGGCTCAAAGAGCTCAAATAACCCGCTCAGAGCTTCTTAGTGACAGTGCCAGGATGTAAACCTAGGTCTGTTTGGTTCTCTCTGTTACACCATGCTGACTTGTAGTTGGAAAGAATAACACTAAGTGTTCTGGGTAGGAAGATCAGGAAGGGAGAAAGGAAGAAAAAGAAGTGAGAATAAAATCCACTGTCCATAGATTCCTGAAATGCCCAGGTCACAGCACTGGGCGGCTCCTATCAATGGGAGATTCTTTTATTCCTTGCTTTATCTCATGGCTCCACCTGGGCACTTTAGCCAAATGAAAAACAGCCCTCACACAATGCTTGCCCAGGAGAGTTATCTGGCAGTTCTGAAATAAGAATTGCTAACTTTTTACCTCCCTCCAAAATAGACCATTCAAGTAGAATGAGCCCCATCTTCCCCCAGAAGACAGAGGATCAGGGGAGAGGGAGAGAGAAAGAGAGAAGAGGGCTACACCTCTGAATGGACCAGAGGAAGATGGCAGCTTACACCGTGACACGTACACACACGCCTTCAAAAATAATGAATCAAGGTCTAACCTGACTGCTACTCAAAATTA